TTGTCAATAATATGTCTAATTTACAAGCTTTAAATATTCAATGTCTAGATGATAATTGGACAGACGAAAATAATTTAACATCACCGATAGATGATGAACTTCTAGAATGGTTACGTCAACAATTACCATCAACATGTACGATAATGAGAGATACGTTTCATCTTCATAATATTCCATTATGGATTCGTTAAAATTTATGTCGAAGAAAGAAAGATAAATTATTGATTATGCATAAAATTTTCTATCTTTTTCCTTTTGCAGTTTATTGTCATCAATCGAATTAATTGAAATAAAAAAATTATTTTCTATTTAATATTAAACTCAATACAACATATGATAGAATATAAATGAAGTGTAACAGAGGATGAAAGACTTTCATTTGATATTCTTAAGAGACTACTGTAGTATCAAAACTAAAAATAGCACATACTATGTAGAAAAAGAAGATAATATAATCAAAGATGGACAATTCAAATGAAATTATATGATGATTATCAAATGGATCTTCGCCCATTTGGGAGTATTTCGTCATAAATGAAATAAATCAGTTTTTGTGTTTTATTTAATAAATAAAAACTGAAAATTAAATAATAATAAAAAAGAAAAACTTTGTTTCTCATAATCAAAATCATGAAAATTAAATTCTACATTTATTTGCCGCCAAATTTAAATTGAGAGACTTTTCGTTTAATCACTTGTCCTGCAATGACTTCTTATCATTTTGTTATAGTACTTGGGCGTTTGCTGAAGGATATTAAAGATTACCTAATTGTATAATAATATCAACAGATCCATGAATTAATTTTATGAATAGTTCAAAGAAAAATGTATAGTTAAATAAATGTGACATAATATATATTGTCAAGTTTTAAAAGTTTTTTATTTGACATAAATGACAACTTGTTTACAATGAAAAATAATATCTAAAGGTGCTGTCAACCATCCTACTCAATAAGTCTTGAAGTATTATTTGAAATGTATGCAATCAATGATAGTTTATCTACTGTCATTTAATGCATCTATATTGATGGCATCATCTTCCTTTTCATCCGCTTCTTCACATCTATCTGCATTTTCTACATCATTTATAGATCCTTTTAACAATGGATCATCATCAATCCGCATATTGCAATATTTATGAGTCTTTCGCTTTCGTTCAGCATCCAATCGAAAACTCATCATGACCACGTTTCTTAACACTGGTTTCAGAATCAACATTCATTTCGTTTATAAATAAGTCAATGAGAGGTATTGAGTGAAATGTTATTGACAAATGATAGGTTGTGTGTAAATGTACGGCAAATATACAAAACTGAAATGAGTACTTACTAATGATGAAACAATTGACAGTTATACAAAAATTGAATAATTATATACATTCGGTAGCAGTAACGTTTTTTAAAATAGGGTTAGTTGTAGCTAATGGTGGCCTCTATATGACCATCTTGATCTTGATGTTCCTTGGGCTTAGCGCTCGTCGGGGCCAACCACTTCACGAATAAGGTTTGTTCACTTATTCCTATCTCGTGCTGCGACAGTCAATTCCTGGAGGTTAAGCCCATTCCATTCTTTTATATCGTCCAACCATTCCCTACATGGTCGTCCTCTTTTTTCACTTTCCATTTATTCTCCAAAAATACTATGTGCTTGATCAGTCGGTTGTTGTCCATTCTGCAAATGTGACCAAACAATCTTAGTTTCCTCTTTTTGATGGTTTCTATGATTGTTTCAGTTGCAGATATTTTGTTTCTGATGTCAATGTTTCTTGCCATATCTTTCCAATTGATGTTTAATATTTGTCTGTAGCATTTCATTTCGAATGCAAGTAGTTTCTTTTTATCTGTTTCTTTGAGAGGCCATGTCTCTGATGCATATAACAGTACGCTGAAGACGGAGGTTTTTAAAAGTTTCAGTTTGCTATCCACTGAAAGCTTTCTCTTTTTCCATATATGCTTCAAACTGCTCATGGCTCTGATCGCTTTGTTGATTCTTTGTTTGATTTCTTCCGAACAATTGCTGTCCCAAGTTCGCAGGCTTCCTAAATATTGAAACTTTTCGACGTTTTCAATAGTTTTGCTATTGATTGTTATTTGTTTATCAATGTTCTTGACACCAAACACTATTGTTTTCGTTTTGTTTGCGTTTATAAGTAATCCAGTTGATTCTGTTGCTTTTTTTAGTTGTTCCATTTGAGTTTGGAGTGAGTTAAAGTCTTCATCTAGAAGATCGATGTCATCAGCAAATCTTAAGTTGCTAATTATTTCCCCACTGATATCGACTCCTCGTTTATTCTGTGCAGTTATATCCATCGCTCTTTCCAAATAAGCAATAAATAGAAGCGGTGACAGAGGGTCACCTTGTCTAGTTCCAACGCTTGTTAGAAACCATTCACCTAGATCTGTGCCTATTCGGATTGCTGATTGAGATTTTTCATAGATTTTCTTTAGTATATTCATCAGCTTGTTTTCCACACCATAGGGCCTTGAAACAGCCCATATGATCTTGTGTTTTATCGTATCAAATGCCTTTTGAAAATCGATAAAGCAATTGTATATCTTTTTTCCATTTCTTTTTGCCTTCTGTGCTAGAAGTCTTAGTATCAGTATTTGTTGTACCGTACTTCTGTCTCTTCGAAATCCTGCTTGTTCCTCAGCCAGGTAAGGATCAAGGTGAAATTTTAATCGTTTCAACAACACCAATAGAAATATCTTCCCTATATGACTTATAAGGGAGATTGGGTGTGGGGTGTGAGTGTCGGTGTGAGTGTGGGCGTGTGCAGGTGTGGGTGTGGGATGTGGGTGTTGATGTGGGTGTGGGTGAGGATGTGGATGCGGAGTGGGGGTGGGTGTGGGGGTGCTTGTGGTTCTAAATTGGCATTAGCATCCGCAACCACACACCCACATCCACACCAAATACCCACACCCACACCCACACCCACCCACACCCACACCACACACCCACACATTCACACCCACACCCTGTCCAGATCAAATCATTTCGGTCGTAAGCGGCTGTGCACCAATATGAGTTAGCTATTCTACGATATGGATCGGAAAAAAAATATTAATATTTTCATACAAGTCTTGATTACATAAAAGATTTTCTGAGTGCTCCGAGCCACTCATAACAATGATTTTTCCACACTGATAGGATATTTTCTTGATAAAATAGCAGCTGTAACGTTAATTAGATACCATAATTGTTCAAAATAGCGAGAAGCGGATTCAGTTCATATATCTCAAGAGATATTTGTATTATCAAATAAATCAACTGTCTACTAAGAACTTCTTGCTTACAAGTTATACTTCGTATATAAAGAAATTAATTGTATCATATGTTAGAAAAAGTATTTCTTTCGATAGTAAGTGCAAGATGAAGAAAGTTCATTCATTCTGATCCACTTGTTAGAAGAACAGACAATCATGACAATACTACTTTTAAATCAATTAAAACACTTCTATTATATAGAGATTCGTGACATTATCGTTAGATACATTGAAACTGAACTTACTGAGTACTTTTTGTTTTAATTACTGTAAATTGGAAGCTTTCAAGCGTATTCTTCATTCAACATTTTTCCTTCATATTATAAATATTCTTTATTAGGTTTAACGTGTTGCTGTGTTACACATATTAGAAAGTAAAGTTATTTGAAATTAGAATATAATCAATGAATAATACAACATCATCACTATCTAATGGATATGATTTAGGTCAGGCAGCCAGGATACCTATTACTTACAGTTTTCCTATCACAACGAAACTTATAGTGATTACAAATATATTAAGTTTTAGTATACTCTGTCGTCGAGCTCTTCGATTATCTTCTTGCATATACTATTTTCTTGCTTCTATTCCACCCATTTTTTCATACGTAATCGTTTCACCTATAAATGTGATACTTCAATATAGGCAACGTTTCTATAGGATAATTATAGATGTAATGAAAGATGCTTGCACGACAGCACACTATATGTAATCATACCTGACTTTTATCTTTACCGATACTCATATGCTATGACCCTGTATGACTACAGAAGTACTCAAACATACATATAAAGGTTAAAGATGTATTATATATATCCATAGAACTATTACTAAAAAGATTCTCTGTTGATATGTAAGAAATTAAATTTGTTGTCTATATGCACAGAAATGTCGTGGCCCTTAAAAGTTTAACAATAGAATATATATATATATAGGAAATATTCACGCAAAGTATTTGTATTTTGTTCATCTCTTGGATCTTAATAGAATATAAGATAGAAAATGAAACAATAGTCTATGTTCTAGTTTAAATCAATGCATAACTAGCCAATGTTGCAATACCACATTGATTATTTTTATTTCTTGCCAGCCAAGCATAACCATCCATTCCCCACTGTGTTGTATGTTGATTTTTCAAAATATAATAATCTTGATTATCTACTGTTGTACCATATCCAACAGCCAAAAGTGAAAAATCTATCACTGTTGATGAACAAGCTGGATCAGAGTAAACACCTGATGAATAAAATTGAAATGAATATAGACTTGCATCCATTGCAACAGCTATTGGACCAATTGTTGCAAGAGCATCTTGAAGATCATCTTCTGATCCAGGTTTAATATCAACATAACTCTTCAAGAGAAATCCAAAGACTTTAATTTAAATTTGATTAAAAATTCAACTTACCATTACATCCGTTGCAACGGTTTTAGGATTAAATCGACATTTTCCCATGACACCTTCATAAGGATAACTATCATTTGTATCAATTCCATGATTATCGATAAGATATTTATATGCATTATCCATGTAACCTCCGTTACAACCCAAATTTCCATAATTTGTTGAACAATCAACTAGTTGTTGTTCAGATAAAGCAACAAGTTTTTTAGTTTTCTTTGCAAGTTGTCCTTCAAGTGTACCAGTGGCTGAGAAAGCCCAACATGATCCACAGTGCTCTTGATTTTTTACAGATGTAACATATCCCTTTGTACGCCAATCTAAATAATCATATCAACGATGCGTTCATTTCGATGAAAATGTTACTTCTTTTACCAACAGATGCTGGACGTTTTATATTTGATCGAATATGAAATTTTCGATTTGGTTTCTTTTCAGGATTGATTTGTAATTGATTCATTTGTTTAACAAATTCATCGTTTGTCTAAAATGATTCAAAGAAGATGAATTTTAAATTTAAAAGAACTGATGAAGACGAACAAGATCAGCAAATTGATTAACTTTCATTGTAAATGTATGAAGACCTAAATCAGCTTCTAAATTATGTTTTTGAATCATTTGAACATTTTCTTCCCAAATATTTCGTCTAAAGAGAAAAATAAATCGTATTACTCATTCAAATGTCTTGTTTTTCATACCGAAGTTGTTCTTCATCGATTGAATTATATTGTTTTTTATGAAGATTTTTAAATAATTTCCATCCTTCATCTAACGATGACGTTCGATGACTCAAACAAGAGCTTAGAAATAAAGTGAAAGTGATGAATAAAAAAAGTATATTCTTCATTTTGATTCTGTTTTAACTAAATTTCTCATGGTCAACCTTGTTTTAATACTCAAATTTTCTTTTGTCATGTCGTAATAAGAATGATAATGCATTTTAGATAAGGATGAATAATTTTTTGATAAAATCTTTATCATGCAATAAATAAACATAGACAGCCCAAATGCTACGAACCGCATAAAAACCGACGGTTAACCGGCAGCAAATCTGTCGTAGAACTGAAGAGTATACCGCCAAATAACCGCTGGTTTACTGTCTGTATAATGGCAAGATAGCTTTAGACAAAAACTACTGAATATTTTTAAAGTCTGTTAAAACTGACAAATTCTAGTCGATTTCGTGATTCATAGTAATGTCGACGTACTCGAGCCGCCTGAACTAGCCACAGAGCCGAAATCGGTACACATAACTAGATATTGCATGTACCGGCGATATTAACGAAAACCACGTATTACCGCCGATATCTTCCAAAAAGTGATGACATGGGAGGTTCTTATCTATTCTCTTGTTTTTCTCCTCGATATTAAAATATAAATTAGTTTTCTCAATATTCGAGTTTCTTGTCAATAAATTGATTAGAGGTGAGGGATGGACCATTTCCCTACTTCAGAGGGAAACTGTTCCACTTACAGCAGAAATGGTTTAACCTCAAAAAGTCAAATAGAAATTCTTTTCTCAACATCAAATTCACCTTTCATACAAATTAACATTTTACTATATACCATAAGAAACGGTTATTTTTTAAGGGGAAATCCTTCATCCATATCTCCAGATGAAAGAAGAAACGAAAATGCAATGGAGAGAAAGCGATAATTCTATTTTTTCATCATAAACGCAGTTATAAGTAGAAGTGGATTATTTCTATCAGAAATGGTTATCTTTTAAGTAGAAATTGTTTATTTATATCTCCACTTATAAAGAGAAATGGAAGTAAAATAGAGAGAAATGGATAATTTTTATTGTAATTTCCGATTTGTTCGAAGTCACTCGATGGTACTCATTGTGTTAACTAAAATATTTGATCTACGAAACACGATCTTATGGCGATATGAAAAAATTATTGTGCATAAAAGGTGTGGTTAGTTGTATACTAACTCTTATTATATTGGTCTCAGTTGATGAGGGTTATATGGACATGACATGTTAGCTTAGAGATAGGTATGATAAGTTATTGTTATGTGATTAATATAATTAAAAATAACTATTGTGATACTAAAAGTTTTTTATGATATTCTAAGAGAATTGTAATCGTAGAGAATAGAAGGTGATTGTGGAATAATGAACAAACGCAAGTGATATGCTTGCAGATCAATGCACAATGAAATCCAAACTTTTCAGAAAAAAATGTTTTGTTTTTGTTATAAATAACAAATAACAACAACGCAAAATTCAGATCCCTACATACAAATAGTAATTGGCTAGAACTAGCAACTCGTTATCATTCAATGGAAGGTACGATAAATGCTGTTCTTGTCTATTATTCATCTGATAATTAAGAAGCAAAATTTATTTACTTGAAGTGAAATATTAAACTAGTCTTATTTCTTGCACGGTGTCAATTACTTTGTGGGCATCGTGACATGCTCTAATCATATCGTTTTGAAACAAGAATCATTTTCCTTGGAAAGAAAATACTTTTCTGTATAAATTCAGTTATATGTGCCATATCATGTAATAGATATATATATACGTGTACGTATGTATATTTTTTTCTTTCCATTTCTGCTTCTGAAACGATTTCTCTTTGAAAGAAAAACCATTTCTCCCTATATTTAAGCATATGTGTAATATCACATAGTAGATTATACGTATATGCGTATATATATATGTATATGTATAGTTCTTTCTTTCCATTTCTCCTTGATATGTACGATTTTATGTGGGGTGAACCATTTCTCCATAAACGGGAACAATTTCTCCAACGACTGGGTCCAATTGTCCACTGCTGTTTGGATTTGATTTAACTCGTACATCATTGGTCTGGTATAGATTAAGACAGGCTTTACTCATTGCATCGAATACAATAGCAGTTACTTGTACATGTTTAGCTACAATAGATCAATTTCTTGTCACATCTTCTAATCCATCAATACAATAGATTAGTAATATTCAACGAGCATATAAAATTATATTTATCATTATCATTCTTTGGCTCCTTCATTTACTTATTGTTTATTTTAACATGATTATTTCCCCAGTTACCAGTACATGTGTTGCCAGTAGTCCTGGAACTTCTCGTTATGCTGCAATATTTTTCATTCTTATTGTTAATGTTATTCCAATAACAATAACGACAATATTTGGATATTTAACGTATCGTAATATTCGTCAAACAACAGTTCTTGCTGGACAACAAGCTGATCGACAATTAGTTAAAATGGTTCTTCTACAAATCATACTAATTATCATTTCTAATACTCCTCTTGGTGGCCTCTATACATATATATTGATTACAACTGGAGTTATCAAAAGTCAAGAACAACAATTACAAGAATATTCTGTCTTATTACTCATCAATCTTATAGGATCAATATATTTTATTGAGCATATTTCATAAAGAAATATTTTTGATTATCTTTAAGGAAGTTTTTATACATTTTTGATTTCATCAAGTCGTTTTCGTCAAACTATGAAAGAACGATTATTTCGATGGCGACCTTCAAATCAAGTTCCGCCATCTCTAACTTGATGATAGAAATATCAATATTAAAGAAAAAGAAACATATTTCATCCCAATTGTCATGTTATTCGAAATTAAACAGCAAATTTTGCTGTTTAAATATATGTAAATGTTGTAACGTCGGAATAAATAAAAAAACAGATGAATATTTCATTCAACGAAAAATTGTATAAATGTGAGTGTTCAATCTCTCACATTCTCCATTAATCATATGTAAATACTAAAAATAAAACAATAAATTATGAAAGTTTCAAAGAAGATGAATGAATAACATTGTACAATAAGTAAATATGAATGTTATATTCCAATCACCTTTATCCTACACTTTTCATCCTCGAGATAGTGATAGTAATGTCATTAGACAATGATAAAAACATATTCTGTATAAATATTCTCAAAGAGAATTGAAAAGTTTTCATATTTTAAGCATCCAAGTGAAAATGCTGAAATGATTGATTATCCTATTCATTCACAAGAATTATATAAAAAGCCTCAATGTTTTATGCTTATGACGTTATGTTTGGCAATTAGATTTAAGAAAACAAACTTTCCTATCTTCGCTCATTTGACGTTGGATATTCTATGAAGATATTTTCTGTATTTATGTAAATGTTGTAATGTCGGTATCAAAAAAACAAATGAATATATTTCATTGCAAAAAGAATAGTATGGATGTCAATATTCAATCTCTCACATTCACTATTAATCATATCTAAACTGAAAATAATACATAACGCTTCTCGAGGCCACTCACTTAACGCTCGACTGATTTTCCCGCCATTCCTATGTCTTTGCAAAGTGTTTCCGATCGTATGTATATCAAAGCGTTCATCTCATGACTGCTCAATGCTGTGCATTGTGTGTACAATGTAGTAGAAAGCCTGCTTTTCTTCCTCTCCAATACCTCACAAACAATCAAACTACTTTGACAGACTCACATAAGAAAGGCGAGATTATTCGATGACAGTATTTGTATCTAGTTGTATAAAGAGATTTAACAAATATGCAACAGAATACCGACTGTTAAAAAGGTACAAGTCACTTGGAAGATTCAGGTTTCGGGATAAATTCCACGTTTCAATCACTTACTCATACCGCACTTCCAATGTGAAACTATATGACTGACTAATTTTTAGGTAGTTCGCGCATCTGTGGTCAGTTTTATGATCCTCGATATCTGATTGATCATGAAACAGTGAGTAGATAGGGTATCTAACACTTTTCGTTGTTTGACCGCTGACCCTGACACAAACAAACAAACATTAGAAAATGAAAAACAAATCAAGAAAATAGTTTATAGTTTATGATCATAAAGTTTATTCATCTAATTCTTTGTCAAGATTTGTCAACCAATTTTTTATTATTCCATTAATTTCAAAAAATGATGCTAAATGACCTCCATCAAGTATTTGAAGTTCTGCATTTGGATAACTTTCGACTAAATATGTTGACATTTCCATATGAGCTATTTTATCTCCTTTTCCGGCTATAATCAATACTTTTCGTTTTGATGATGATGGAAGGTTTTTCGGATCAAAACCCCAATCCGAATGTAAAATATATGCAACAGTATTGAATCCATCCATTGTTTTTGACATACTTAAACACATATTTCTTGCCATAGTTTCAAGAACCCATCCTGATGGATGATTTCTCTCTTCTTCCCATTTATGTAATTTAGCTTTTTCTTCATCATCCATTTGATCAAATATATTTTCTCGCAAAAAAACTTTCGCTTCATCAATATTACGAACTTTTTTTTGGATAAATGATCCCATTAATCTTCTAATAGAAGGAAAATAAATAGCTGGCATACCGACCGCAAAATAATTTAACCAACTCATTCCAGTTGTATATTCTTTATGATATTTAAATGGGGAAAAAGCAGAGCAAAGAATTAATGATTTAACATTGGCAACTTCAGGCATTATATCAGGGGATGCACCAAAACATATTTGAGCAAAAACAGTTCCATAACTGCCACCTCCAACAGTAATTTTAAGATTTTTATTATCATTTTTCTTCATAGATAATAATAGTTGATGAATATCATTAGGATAATTTAAAATTGGTTGATTTTCGGGCCATGGTGAACTATTACCCCAACCAGGAAGTGTAGGAGCAATAAAATGATATCCAATTTCTTGGTAAAGCTTCGTCTCAATTGATGAATCTCCAACACCAAATACTCCATGAAAGAAGATAATTATTTTAAGACTATTTATATCGCCTTGTTCGGTATATGCTAATTGACGACCATCGGAAAGTGTTACGTACTTTTCATCAGGAACTTGAAGATCGTTAGAGATTGACGATGCAACTGATTGGCTCATAATTGATTGATGTAGACAACTAGATGTAAAGAAAAAATGATCTAAATAGTCTTAATTCAATTAAAAAGAATTTCATTTCTAATACTTTATCTCTACACACTAAGATAAAATGTGTCGCATGTATCGTACTTTGCGACACAATGTACGAAACATTAATATGCGACACGAGGAGCTCGTTGCGACACATTTCTTCCAGCGGACGTACGACACATTCTTGTGCGACACATGCGACACATTTTTAACACCCCTAGAGAAAGTACTGAGTTCAGGGTACCCATGTACTGAGAAAGCTCTAGCAGGGTACCCAATATGGGTACTTTGAAAATTCTCAGTAATTTTACTGATGTATGTACTGTTTGGGGTACCCGTAAAAGTACATTCACTGAATAAGTACCTGCATGGATACACAAGTCTGTAACTTTACTGAGGAAATCTCGACAGGGTATCCTAAATTTTTCGCGTTCTGTGTGGCGACTATTCATTCACCGTTTTCTTTTTTACGTACGGCTCTATATAAACAACTCGATAAATCATAAGAAAATAATCAATTTTCATGCTAGTTTTTTCTAAATTATTTCTTGACTATTTCTTAGTCGAGGAAATGCCGAGCTTGGTCGTAAATTAAGATCGGACTACCCTAAAGTGGTCTACGACCAACTTAAGTTGAGTCGGATCCCGACATTGTTCCTGCTAAGGTTTTGGAATTGAAAAAATTAAATTGAATAAAGTAAAAAAAAATCTAGTAAATTATCCCTAGAAAAAGAAAAAATTTTAAAAACTCAAAGATCAGGTTCGATCCTGAGCATACTGAAAATTTGGTAACAGGGTACTTAGAAATACTATACAATGGTACCCAATTCAGTACTTGATCAGTATCTTTAGGTACCCAATTACTGTGCATTTTCCAGCAGGGTACTTGCCAAAGTACCACTTAGGTACCTGTAAGTACCTGCAAGTACTTTGGTACCCAAAAGTTCCTGTGACATACTGGTATCAGGGTACTTTTTTGGGTACCCTTAACTCAGTATATTCTCTAGGGACGTGGTTCGAATTCATTTTTCGGCACGAGGATTATTTTGTTTTTGAAAATTCGAATAGTTACTATTTTTTCAGTTAATTTCAAATAGTAGCACCTATTCTTGGAGTTCAAGACGGTAGATCTTAAGATCTAGCTGTCTCGAGACCATTTGATCTCGATCAGA